GCTTTACTTTAACCCTTATCTCCATTTTGATACTAACTTACAACATAACCACCCTTGATGTTGTAAAAGTGACTGATACTGTGTTTTTATTGCATTAAATGTATCAAAAGGATGCTCAGATAACTAAAATAATAATACAGATTTATAAAAAAGACAAATGTAATGCTTTGTAAGGTCTCCCGCATGACTGCAAGCAAAACACTTTTAAAATGCTTGTTTTCTGAATGGAGGGGCTAGGCTAAGCTAACATAATAACTGCTCCGTCCACGCTACAAATTGAACAGTCTATTGTTTGTGCGCATACATTTATATACATTTATTTATTTTCTAGTGTCTGTACAAATTTGAGATACTGTAGAACTATGGGTGCCACATTAGAAACAGGAACAGTTAACAAAACGGGTAGGCTTTTTACCAAAATAAAATGTAAATAAAAAGAAATTTAGGTTGAGGGCGATTCTCTGATAGGTCCTGCTTTCAAATAAAATTTGAAGTCAATAAGGCTAACGGAAGATAGCAATGTAGCTAGCATCGTCGCACTCCATTTTACACCTTCCAAAACGATGACTTTATAAATTGCCCTATCTTACCAACCTGCTATAAGGAAAAAATATGCCAGATGTGTCTTTTAGCGTGTTCACCTACACCCACTTGAACAAAGACGTCAGGACCGGCTACAGAACAGCTGCAATAGAGCTCATAGCCATTCAGGGCTTAAGGGCTCAACTGAACAGGGGTAGATGTATTTGCTGTCACATAACTTAAAACTAGGTCAAACGGGTTCAAGCGAAGAACTCTCTTCAACCAAGTTTCTAAGTTGAGATGATCAAACGGATTGCAGCTATACATTCAGTTGTCTTTGAGTATTAAGGTATAAAAGGTATGGGATTCTTATCTTAACCATTGAGAAACTATGTGATGTAAATTTGGTGTTGACATCTGGAGTTGTCCAACTGTTGCCTTTAAATGCTTTACCATATTTTAGACTTTGACCAGTAGCATGCCATCATCATCTGTGAAATGCCTGCTGGAATCTTTTGGAACGAACTGACAGGAAACTTTGAAACAACATTTATTATTATTCTTCCACACACCCTATTAATCTATCTGTTGCTGTCTACAGCCATTTATCATTATATACTGGGATGTAAAGCTCACATATGTGATCTATTCCAATAGAGTGGCGAAGTCCCTCCCCTACCGGGGGAGCTCCATGGGACCTTATTTCGAAAAAATCGTGTATTGAAGTCAATGGAGAGAGAAAGATTATCTTTCGATCCCGTTTGAATTGTGCCACGAATTACACACATGATGTTTGTCAATTTAAAAGATAATTTTGCAAGTCAAAAAAATAAAAATGTGTCGTAAAACTGTGAAGTAACACATTTGTTTGTGTGAAACGCTTAATGAACTACATCTCTGGTCTCGCAGACTCTCACAACAACACACGTCACCAAGATGGCAGTCACTACTGTCTTGTCAACAAAACGATTGTCTACCCTCACTATCACCACAATGAAACACGTCCAGAAGAATGTCATGCAAAGCTGCCTGCCTTCCTTTGATTCTCTCTGAACTGCCTGGTCTTTTTAATGTCAACCATTTGTGCAGATAGCATGAAGTAGAAAAGATCGGCAATCGCCGATGCTAGTGTTAGCATTTCTCCCCCGGGCTTAAATTGTGTATTATAGAATGATCACACCGGTGACAGTACTCTTCAAAGGGTTCACGAAATATGACTACTACTCTTACTGTTTAACATTTTGGGTTACTTAATGTTACTTCATATTAAGGCCAATAAAAATAACAAGGCTGTAATGCTAACTAACGTGCTAGCTACTAGCTAGGTAGCTAACTTGATCCAGCCACTCCTGGTCCTTTCATCAGACGGGAAGCGAAATAACGAGCAAGACCCATTGCTGGTATGATAACAACCTGGTACTAAGCACACAGGCATCTTGTTAAAGTTATCTTATCTTAGCCAGCGCCATATAGATAGATTATATCTATATGGCGCTGATCTATATGGCGCTGATCTTAGCTATCTCTTATGCGGCTTTAACACCAGCGCTTTTCCCTTTCTAGCTCCGAGCGGGAGCTTTTCTGGTTCAGCTCCGGTTTCTCTTTTCTGCTCCCGCTCTGTTCACACCGCCCAGAGCCCGACTGGGTGCTGCCGCTGCTGCGTCATGACGTCACCGTTTACATCGCTGATTTGCTCCCCAACGGCGTTACGGCGCCCACAACAACAACAACTGCGACGGGTCGATGATCGTGTTGCTTTTAATCACACGAAGCCAGATTAAATTAAATAACGACTTCTCCAATCTTATGCTTTTCTCCAGAGTGCCGTGGTTCATTGTTTATTAATGTGTTTCTGCGGCATTTACCGACCGCTGCAGTGTTGGCTGCTCTTCCACGGGAGTTTATTCTCCCGTTATCTCCCGGTTAGCTCACACTGCAGCGGCCGCTCTAAAGTATTCACTGTCCAACTCACACAAGCAGCTGATACATATCCCCAGTTCCCCTGAATGTGTGTCAGTCTGAATTGACGCTGTTTGGCATCACAACGCTGTTATGAAAGTGTCTCTGGTATAAAATGGGTGATGTTAGCATAGCAACCGAAGCTAAACTGACTACTTGCTATTGCTATCCTATTGTGGCATAAACCGTTTTCTACAGGCACATTTTACCGGCGTATTTTTATTATGATTCTACTTGTGATAGTCGGACACGACAACCTGTGCAGCCCATGTATTGATTCCATCCGATAGCTGCTATAATACAAAACAACACGTCTGCCTCTCTCCACAATGATCAATGACAGTGAACGGATGGTTAAAGTAAGGTACAAATAAACAGAATCACACGAAGCCTGGTTAGTGTTGCCTGACTTTATAAAGTGTGTGTATAAGCACTACTGCTTGTAGGCAGGCATGACAGTCGACCCATGTTCAGGGGAGGTGGGTTTAGTTTCCTGCACGCCTCGACGTAAGAGAGACGTAAGCGACGCCACCTCTTAGTTCCGAAGCTCTTGCCTCTAGACCGACAATTTTTTGGAGCTGGAAGTGAACCGGATTCCGGAGCTAAGAGCCGGCGCCGCTGCGGTGTGAACAGGAAAAACCGGCGCTTTTCAGGCTCCAGCTCCGAGCCGGAGCTGAAAAAGTGCTGGTGTGAAAGGGGCATTAGTGGAGGAAAACAATTGTGACATCACTTACGCGACTCTGGGATTTGTAGTCTTTCTAGTTGCGTATTTTTCATAGTCTTATATTTCAACAGTTTAACGACAAACTGTGACTTTTTGTACATGGAAATTATTTTTTAAGATTGACAAACAACATATGTGTAATTCATGGCACAATTCAAACGGGATCGAAAGATACGTTTTCTCTCTCCATTGACTTCAATACATTATTTTTCCGAAATAAGGTCCCATGGACCGGAAGTAGATGGGCGTGACTTCGCCACTCTATCACAAATCACTGTTCCGTCAACATCTATCCCTGTCTGTCTGTCAGGGTGTCCGCAGGGTCTTAAAAAGTATTAAAAGTTGATAAATCAATTTAGCGAAAATTAAGGCTATTAAAAAGTATTAAACGGCATTTTCCAAGGTATTACATTTTGTAGCTTGCTTTCAATAAGTTTGTCCAAAGAAGTTGTATTCTACAGTTTGCCTGAATGTAATAATTGCGTAGGTGTGTGGTGTGATTCTGTGTAGTTTATTTATGGCATCCCGTTGGGTTTGACGTCATCTGAACAGGACATCGCACGCTCACTGCTTGATAGCGTGCGAAGCTCCGTTTACGCTGGTTGTTAAACAACATCGTTATGGGGAAATGCAAGTTTGGATAAGGAGGAAGGACAATCAATACTGTATAGTAAATGTTGCGTCAATGTAACTGGTTAAAACTCGAAGTGGCGATGAGGTCTTAAAATGTATGGAAAGGGTCTTAAAAAAGGTATTAAAAGGTATTACATTTGACTTCAGGATTACTGCATATACCCTGGTCTGTGTTCTTTTCCTCAGTCCTTCTCACCTCACATTAATGTTCCATTTTACGACATCTGCATGTCCACACTTTGATTAATACAGTAACGGGGTTAACAAATAAGTTAAAAACAATTTTTACATCTCTCTTCGAACATTTATCAAGTGCTGATATAACAATTGAACTCAGCTTTTGCTATAACAATTGTTCCGTCTGAGATCCACCGTTAAGGTGTCCCTTCATAATAGAGTGCAGGAATGAGTACTAAAACTCAGAAACCAATTAGCATTTTACCTCTTCCAGTTCCCTTGTCTTGAAGTCAACCATTTTTTTGAACCTGTTTTTGGTTAAATGCCTGATATAAGATATTTTGATTAACACAAGCTTTAGAGAGATTCCTGTTTAATTCTGTCATAAAACCTGTCAGTAAATACCTGACTTGTGAATGTCCAAAGCTTCTATGTGTCATAAAACAGCAGTTCCTAACTAGCAACTAAGAGACAACTAAACATCATCACAACGAACATTAGCTGCCTTTAGCTTAGTCATTGTGATGCCCAGACATATGATCGTGATGTAGTGTTTATAGCCTAATGTTAGCTTTTCCCTTATTGATTGCATTTATGCTCCAAATATCGTAACAGTGGTGTTAATATGCTGATATTATCCTGCTGAACAAAACGTGTAGGTATCATAACAGTGTGTTCGCCACAGATCTTCTTATTTCCTGCAATATCCCAAAATTGAATAGAAAAATCCCCTTGATTTTTTTTATGAAGCCCTTGCAATCCTAACTTCCAAATCGGCCTAAAAGAATATGTCATACTGCACCACTCTATGCTAATTCAATGTAAATAAGGGATGTTCATGCTACAACACTTTTGTTTTTGTAACCCAAATCCAGTTGCAATTAGCATTAAGTTCTTATTTTTTCTAGGTTGTGAAATAAAAATCCGTTTATAAATGACCTCATGTTCCAACACTCACTCTTCCTCATTCTGCTTCCATCTGCAGAGCCCAGTACTCCGTGTTGGTCCCTGCCCTGTGGAACACTGAGGTCCAGGACTGGGAGCTGAAATGTATCAACAGTCTGGTGTTGGATGAGAGCCACCATGGACCCAACGCAGGTACCACACATACACACACATTACACACACAAAGCAGTTGTTCTCAAGCAGTAGCTAATAATGCAAAGGGGCACTTGGGAGCACTCAGCACTTGGTATCTCAAACTCCAGTCTCTCATTCAGGCTATATCACTTAACCTTGGCGGCACACATGCTGATCCTGTTACACACACTCACAGTTTTGTTCTCCGGTCTGAATGTCAATGTGTATGGTGGTGGTTGGTCCTTGGGGAAGACCTCTCAAGCTTGTTCCTGAGAAAACTGGAACAAAAGGAGGAAACAATCACCTCTTTTTCACCTCATTGCTTTAGTTTCATCTGATGACAATTTGATAACTGTTTTTCATTTCTATTGTTCATTTTGCATGTTTTCATGTAAGACTTTTGTTTGTATCCCAATATTTTGCTATTTGAAACGCTGTTACTTCACCCTAGACTGTTTTCTTGACAAGAAGTCTGGAAAAGTTATCTGATTCTGTTCAGAAATATCATTACCTAAACATTGTAAAACATGTTGGGGCAATTTGTATTCTTAAAAACAAATCATTGGTTATATAAATAAATCAACTTCCATTGCTAGAAAGGCTGCCCCTGGTCACTGAGAACAAGCTGAACCTATAAAACCTAGCCCTAGTACTCTAACGTCTGAAAATAATGAATGTGGTGCTCTGTATACTCTGAAAGTTATTTTGCCAAAGTAAACATATTGATTCCCTTCAGTTATGAGAAATCATTTCTATGACATCCATTTATTAAAGTGTCATACCAATAGGGTATATTTCTTTTTATTTCTTGTTTAGAAAAAGTTGATAACATAATTAAATGTAATGATAGTTTTTCTTTCTTATTTTTGATTAATTGTTATTTATTAATATTTGTATTTAGAAAAGTAAATATATAAGTTAAATCGACTTATTCATAAAATAATCGTTATATTAATAGATATGAAGTTGATCTTTAAAAGCAGCCTTGAGGTAAGATTGTCTCATGTTATTCTAGCTTAACAATAGACAGACCTTAAAGGTGCCTTGACTTTGGCTGCAGCATCAGTTGACAATCTACGAAACACTGTCATCTTGGCCCTGAGCTGACGGTTCATCTATCGGGCTGCTTGTGTGCGTGTGTGCGCGCCTAGGTTAACGTGACAGATCAAAAGAGCTTTTATCTTTTGAAGGCTGTTCAGGTATCAGCTCATCAAGATCTGGAAACCCCTCACCACTGGAGTCTCATCTTCACAAAAGATTGGAATGCGTGTGTGTGTGTGTGTGTGTGTGTGTGTGTGTGTGTGTGTGTGTGTGTGTGTGTGTGTGTGTGTGTGTGTGTGTGTGTGTGTGTGTGTGTGTGTGTGTGTGTGTGTGTGTGTGTGTGTGTGTGTGTGTGTGTGTGTGTGTGTGGGTGTGTGTGTGTGTGTGTGTGTGGTGTGTGTGTGTGTGTGTGTGTGTGTGTGTGTGTGTGTGTGTGTGTGTGTGTGTGTGTGTGTGTGTGTGTGTGTGTGTGTGTGTGTGTGTGTGTGTGTGTGTGTGTGTGTGTGTGTGTGTGTGTGTGTGTGTGTGTGTGTGTGTGTGTGTGTGTGTGTGTGTGGTGTGTGTGTGTGTGTGTGTGTGTGTGTGTGTGTGTGTGTGTGTGTGTGTGTGTGTGTGTGTGTGTGTGTGTGTGTGTGTGTGTGTGTGTGTGTCCAACCAACCAACCAACCAACCAACCACAGGGAGGTGCTAATCTTAGAAGTAGGCTGTGCCTTTGACCTGTACATGGACCAGGCTTTCCAGGACAAGTATATCAAATACCAACCACTGCTCGATGTGATAACCAGCTTTGGGTACAAGTGTAGATATACAGGGTTCTTACGGTCTTTGAAAACCTGGAAAAGTCATGGAAATTCAAAATGCTAATTCCAGGCCCTGGAAAAGTTATGGAAAACAATATTTTTACCAAAGTTTTGGAAAAGTCATAGAAATGTAACTAAAGTTGCATCAAATATAATTTATATTTTATCTAATCGCCAAAATAGTAATACTATAATGATAATAAATACTGTATTGTATAGTAATGAAACGTAAAATGGCATTTAACTGACTGGTGAGAGATTTGAAGCTAGAAGCTAGTAAGCCTACTATTGGATTTGTGTTAGATAGGACCAACATGTTTCATATGCAGACCTTATTTTCCTGTTCCATGTTCAAATAAACCATTTTCAGTGGTACGCTGAGAAAGAGTCATTTCTTTGGTCATGGAAAATTAGGTAAAGGTCATGGAAAAGTCATTGAAAATCATTGGTGAAAAAGTGTATGAACACTTGATATAGCATACTCATATTTGGAAGTCTTGGCCATGTATATAAATGCACCATGATTGGTCTGAGAATTGCTGGAATGTCAAAGAGAAACGCCAAACAAATTGCCAAATATTGCTCTGTTTCAGCTATTATTGGCAGCTTAGCCGTGTGGAGAAGGAGATGCTATGTGTACCCCTAACGGCCCCTACACACGGCGGCGTGCGTTAACGCTTCTGCCCATTCACTTTGAATGGGGTGACGTCACGATTCGCCGAACTGCATTGTGGGAGCAAAGCGTAGATTCTCTCGCGGTGCTCGCTGCAAAAGTAGAGCAATGTTCTACTTTTGCCGCCTCGACGGAGGCGTCAGCCAATCAAATCCCGCGTATGCAAATCTGACAGTACAAGCGCTAGCCAATCAAACCGCGTGTATGTTGGGAGAGCCAGACCGCAGTTATTTCCCATATGTACAAAAAAATGGAGGAGAAAATTATCGTGGCGGTAGGGAATCACCCGGTACTATATGACCAGTCCCTCTTTACATACAGGGATACAAACCGGAGGAGCCAGGCATGGGGGGAGGTGGCAGAGACAGTGGGTGAAACTGGTAGGTTTTCGCCTGTTTGGGGAGTTTATATCCAGTGTACTTCGTTTGAATGGACAGCTAGCAAGCATAGACAGTATATTTAGCCAGCATGGATGTAGCGTGAATGCTTTGCTTTGTATGTCCAGAGCGGGACATTCATGTTGTTGGTCGCGTTGCTCGCGTTGACTCCCCAAGCTCAAGACACGCCCACCGCCAAGCGGCAACGCACGCCGCCGTGTGTAGGCTCCGTAAGTGTTCTGTGCTGCTTAGCCCCGATTATATTTGATTCCCTGTCTTATGTAATATAATTTGTGGAACCAAATAAAGTATTCGTGTGTGTGTGTGTGGCTATAACTGTGCACATATGCCTGCGTCTGTGCATGCATCTTGACAGACTCAGAATGTCAACGAGGATGAGTCAGAGGACGGTGGCTGCAGGGCTCTGTTTGTCAATGCAGAACGAAAGAAAAGAAACAACAGTGTGTGTGCGTGTGTTAGACTGAGTTTTGTAAGTGGGAGAGTATTTGCGAAAAAGGCAGAGGGAGCATGAGAGGTTTCCTTTCAGGGCTTTTGGAAGCCACAAAGGCATATTTTACGGTGGGGAAAATCCATCACCCTGTGTTTGTGTGTGTGTTCCCACCTGTGTGTGGCTGTGTGTGAGGCAGGATGAGTCATCCTTATTTGCTGGCCTGTCAGACTGTCTAGCCCTCAGGGCAGCAGAGGAAACGAGCTGATTCATTTCACTGCCTCTCCGACACAGTCTTACGTTCCTCTTTTTTCTGTCTCTCACACACTTACAGATCTCTGTGACTGACTACCAGCACTGTCATGGTGTTGTCACAAATGATGTGGCATGTGTTCCACTCACCAGTTCAGGACGTCTTCTGTCACAAATATGCATGTTCAAGTGGCTTTTTTGGAGTATGGTTTACTGGGTTAGTGATCTGTAAAAAATAAATATAATCCCTAACCTAAAACAAGTATCAAAATATAAAATGAATGTAATCTGATTACTTACCATTACTTTTGCTAACACACAATATCAAATGCAATGAAAAAAAATACTATAGAAAATAAATTATATTGCACAGCGCCCGGGGAGCAATGGGAGTGGGGGGGTGGGGGCGGTTGTCCGGTGCCTTGCTCAAGGGCAACACGGCAGGGCCCAGGAGGGGAACTGGGACCTCTCCAATTAGCAGTCGATACTTTAAGTCTTTTCGGAGACTTGAACCGGCGACCCTACGGCTCACAGTCCAAGCTAGGGTTGCAAAGGGGCAGACATTTCCGGAAAGTTTCCATGGGAAGTTAAGCTGGGGAATTTTGGAAATATTCGATGCAAAATTAAACAAAAAACATTTTTATTTTTTTTAAGTAGAACAGAACACGTTTTAATTATGTTATTGAACAATTATTTGTTTAATTGAAGAACGAAAACAGGAATGTTGAGTTAAATATTACTCATCCCCCCCAACCCCACAAAAATGCACCCCCCATCCAAAAATCCCCACAAAGTCCCATTCAAAATGAAAGTCCCATTAAACAGGCAAATCTTCCTTCAAGCAATCCTCTGCATTTTTGCTAAACTCTTTCAGTCAATGGGCTCTTCCTGGGCTTCTTCAACATCCAACTCTGAGTCTTCCTCTTCAGTGTCACTGTCCAGCCTTGTTGAGGATGGCTCTGTGTCAGGCTCAAAGAGCCTTAGGTTTGCCCGGATGTCAACCAGTTTTTCCACTCTCACATTTGTGAGCCTGTTGCGAACCTTTGCATGGTGTCAATAGCCATGCAGTAAGCAGTGTGCTATGGCATAGATATTCAATTGTACTTGAATGACATCTGTTTGTTTTAGTCAAGATTATGCTAAAATATACTTTCCCCAACTATATTTAATGGCGCGTTTCCACTGCAGGCCTCGCTCGGTTTGGTTAGGCCTTATTAGGCCCGGCTCACTTTTGGCGCGTTTCCACTGCAGGCCTCGCTCGGCCTCGCTCGGTTTGGTTAGGCCTTATTAGGCCCGGCTCACTTTAATGCTGCGCTTCCATTACAGTTTAGGAACTGGGGCAGTTACTATAGTAACGCAGTGTAGGCGGAGCCGTGACGTCATCTTCAATGAGAGCCCCAGAAAAACTACACAGCCGTTAGCTCTTA